CCACTATGCATTGTTTAAATCTGCTAGCAATGCACCAAACACACTCTTCGGATCCCTCTGGCTCTTGAGAGATGGTTTCCATGCTGTGTGTGTGTGTGTGTGTGTGTGTGTGTGTGTGTGTCTAGGGAGGGTATGTATATATTGCATTGTGGAGACCAAATGTCACAAAAATATGATAAGCCTGTTATATTGACATGGCGACATTTTCCTCTTGTGGGTACCGAAAAAACTTAATTTTATAAAAACCTCTGACTGCAACAAAAAATCAAAAATTCCAAAAGTATTGTAATTGTATTTTGTTTGCTTACTTATGTTTAAGGTTGGGGCTGGGTAGGGGTTATGGTGTCCATTGCCCATAGAAATGAATGGATGGTCCCCACAGAGAGAGAGAGAGGCCTAATTTGCGTGGTGTGTGTGTGTGTCTGAACGAACCTGTGACTGAAATAAACTTGGGATACAACCTCACAGGCACCTTATCTAAGAGGAAAGGTGGTGGAGCCCCACCCCCCTGCAAGATGAGAGGCTCTCTCCTGTGATGTAGGCACTCCTGGGTTCGGGGGGGGGGGTCGTGTCGTGTTCCTGTGTGGGTGCGCTGCTCCTGTCAGAAACTCCCTGACCATTGGGCTGAATTTGAGCCGTGACCAGCTGCATCTGAAGACCGGCCTGTTCCTTTAGAGCTGGACCTTTACGCTGGAAAGCCCGCTGCTCCAAGGCAGTCCTGACCCGGACACCATAGATGTTCAGCGTTATTTGGAAATCGCATTTCTACTAGAAGGGAAAGGCTCGGTGTCTGCAGAGGGTAGGTTTCCACGGGAACATGGGAACACGTGAACTGAGGACGTGGGAGTCACCTGATCCCCTGTGTGTGTGTGTGTGTGTGTGTGTGTGTGTGTGTGTGTGTGTGCGCGCACACACACACACACACACACACACACACAATCTTTCCCTTTGCAGTCTTCAGGGGGGGGCATGCAGGTTTTTCTATGACACGTTTTGTTTGTTATGATCCAGTATGTGAAGGATTTCCTCCTGTGGGGTTTCCCCCATATGGAGGGGGGGGGGACGCATCATGGGAGACGTAAGGGGACTTCTGACAGAAATGCTCGGCTCAAGCTGCAGCCCCC